GGGGGGGGGACACGGGGGGATATGGGGCACGGGGGACACGGGGGACACGGGGGACACGGGGGACATGGGGGACACGGGGGAACACCTGGGTGGGATGGAGGGGACAAGGGACAGGGAGAAGCGGCCTGGGTGGGGACAGCAAGGGACAGGGCACAGAGGTGGCGGCAGGGAGCGTGGCACGGAGGGGACAGCGGGGAGGGACGTGGCGGTGTCCCCGCTCGCTGTGGCCGCGGTGACAGCGGTGACAGCGGTGACACCGGGCCGGGGTGGCAGTGATCATGTCGGAGGAGGCGCTGCGGCGGCGGCGGGAGCTGCGGGGCCGGCGGGGCCAGCCCGGGGGCCAGCGGGGACAGGAGGGACAGCGCGGGGGACAGCCCGGGGGACAGCCCGGGGGACAGCCCGGGGGACAGCCCGGACTGACGGCCGAGCAGCAGGAGCTGATCGCGCTCCTCATCGCCGCCCACCAGCGAACCTTCGACTCCAGCTTCTCGCAGTTCATGCACTGCTGGGTGAGCTGGGGACACCCCTGTCCCCAAAAGGACACCCCCGTTCCCCAAGGGGACACCCCTGTCCCTGCGGTTGCCCCAGCTGTCCTCCGCACTGTCCCCATTGTCCCCACACTGTCCCCTGGCTGTCCCCAGCGTCCCCTCTCTGTCCCCACTGTTCCTAGCTGTCCCCAGCTGTCCCCTCTCTATCTCCAGCTGTCCCCAGCTGTCCCCTCTCTGTCCCCACTGTCCCCTCTCTATCTCCAGCTGTCCCCAGCTGTCCCCACTGTCCCCTCTCTGTTCCCACTGTCCCCTCTCTGTCCCCTGGCTGTGTCCCCAGCTGTCCCCTCTCTGTCCCCACTGTCCCCTGGCTGTCCCCACTGTTCCCTGCACTGTCCCCTCTCTGTCCCCTCTATCTCCAGCTGTCCCCACTGTCCCCTGCACTGTCCCCTCTGTGTCCCCAGCTGTCCCCTCTCTGTCCCCACTGTCCCCTGCACTGTCCCCTCTCTGTCCCCACTGTCCCCTCTATCTCCAGCTGTCCCCAGCTGTCCCCTGCACTGTCCCCACTGTCCCCTCTCTATCTCCAGCTGTCCCCTGCACTGTCCCCTGCACTGTCCCCTCTCTGTCCCCACTGTCCCCACTGTCCCCTGCACTGTCCCCACTGTCCCCTGCACTGTCCCCTCTCTGTCCCCAGCCCGCCGCGCGCCTGCTGCTGCCCGGCCCGCGGGGCGCGGGTGTGGCCGCGGGGATGTCGCCGTCGCTGTCGCCGTCGCTGTCGCCGTCTTTGTCGCCGTGTGAGGCGGCGCTGTCGCTGCTGCCGCAGTTCGCCGAGCTGAGCACCTTCATGATCCAGCAGGTGATCCAGTTCGCCAAGGAGATCCCGCTCTTCAGGTGCGCGGGGGCAGCGCGGGCCACCGCGGCTGGCTCGGTGCCACCTCCTGAGTGACCCGTGTCCCCTCCTCTGTCCCCTGTGTCCCCTGTGTCCCCTGTCCCGGCAGGAGTTTGCCGCTGGACGCCCAAATCTCGCTGCTGAAAGGGGCCACGCTGGGGATCTGCCAGATCCGCTACAACACCGTCTTCAACCCCAGCACCAAAGCCTGGGAGTGCGGCCAGCGCTGCTACACCGTCCGCGACGGGGCCCTGGGTACCCACGGACACGCGGGGACACGCGGGGACACGCGGGGACACCGCCCTGCGCCGCCCAGGCGGGGCAGCCCAAGGACAGGAGGGGGACAGGATGAAGAGCGGGGTCCCGTGTTGTCACAAGGACCCCCGGGGTGGGGACCCAGAGGGACCAGGGGGACAGCCTGGCACCCCCAGATTGACCGAGGGGACAGCCAGGGGGACACCCTGCCACCATCCCTGGGGACAAGGGACAGCCTGGCACCCCCAGA